CATCTTCTCTTTTTACTTTTCTTTTCATTTTGTTACACAAATCCTTCACTCCAAGCATAACCTATGTATAGTAAACCACTGACTTTTAGATTAGATACTGATGTCATTAACAAAATCGTGGACTGAATTAATTAAAGGAGAAGACATGATTGTTCTCTTTCCCATTTATAAGCAAACATTATTCTTGTATGTCAATTCATAGATGTGGACTGAGATATAAATTATAGGATAGATATATTCCACTACCATTTTATTTATCTACATCTTAATTAATGGTTTATTGCTTTGGTCCACTTGTTAAGGATTAGTAGTTACTGTTAGTTTCTGATTTAATTCTTCAGAGTACCTCGCAGAAAGATTACCCTATATTCCTTGCTCTTCTGGTGTTTCATTGTGCGTTTGTTGCGGTTGGCTTAGCTGCAGTTGTGTAGGTACATGTAAGTCATATCCGTTGCTGCAGGAACTTCTGTTTATGTCATTTATGTCCATTGCTCAATAAACCTGAAACAGAACATTAACCTCACACAATTTCATATTTTTTTGATGACTAATAACTCCCTGCAGTGGAATCAGTTGAAGTTAGCTACTCTGAAGTAAAATCGGCCTCTAAACAGAAACTGGTAGTACTTGTGGTCAAATTTTGATAAGACCTGGTGGTTTAAGTAGTATAATAAAAGGAAACATTATAATCAATGTTACTTGGAATGCCAATCATTTGGAAGAGTAACAACCTGATACATACTATAGAACATGAGGGTAGGCTTAATGTAGATCACATTAGTGGAATGGATTAAGCTACTTCCAAGTGTGAGACTTATTATCAACTAAAGCTAGAAATACAAAATAAAAATAAAAATAAATTTTTTTTTTTTTTTATCATGCAGAAATGGAATCACAGTTTTGTTTTTATCTGTCATGAATCACAGTTTTGTTTTTTGTAATATGTTCTTTAAAACATTTTACAATTGAATCACAGTTTTGTTTTTATTTGTCATGAATCACAATTTTGTCTATTTTGTCTTTAGTATTTTCCGGTAATTTTGCTGGACGATGACCAATTTATGAACGCACTGTTTGTAGTGAAATTTTGATTTGGTCATAATGGATTTTGTAGTAGTACTTTCTTCTTGTAACTTTCTTTGAAGGGCTTATTTTCTTGTGCGAAAATTGTGTTTTTCCTAAAAATGGCTAGTTTTAATTCTAAAAACAAATAAACAAATAAAATAGGATGTCAAACAAATTGTGTGACTTCTCCATGCTACATCACTTTCAAGTTTATTAAGTTACTAATTTTTGAGCACCAAATCAAAATTTGTAGGAAAAAAAAATGATGACAGAGGAACCATGACAATGAGGCCTGTGTAGAGAGAAGACAACCACAAAATTAAAAAAACCAAACCTTCAGCAACTTGCTTCTTCGTATATCCCTTCACCACTTCTAGGATGTTTGTCACTTCGGTAGCTTGTTTCTTCGCATCCAGTCCAGTCATACCCTTCCAAAGTTCAATGATAGCCTCAGGCACGTGTTTGTCACGAACCGAATACATATTCCCCAACCTTTCAGAAGCGAGTCTAGGGCGCCCTGAATCAACAAAAGTTTGGACAGAGTTTCGATTCCTACAAATTACATAAAATAGTTAGAAATTTTCATATAAAAAAAAAAAACACTAAAGCTAAAGCAGTATAAAATTCAAATAGTACCCATTTTTGGTTGATTCGGAGTTTCCTGGTGTCCTTAAGCCACTTTCTCATTCTTTTTGTTTGCCTCGAAAACCTCCTATTTCTTCCTTCGCTTTTGTTTCTTTGCCATGTCCTTTTCTCCATAAAATAGCATCGTCAGGCATCCCTACAAGAGATAAAAAAATCATAAAATTTAATTAAAAAATCATAGAAACAACCTAGTTTTTTTCTTGAAATAATAAAGATCAGAAAATCAGAAACATACTGAAAACACGCTTTTCAGTATTGAAAGCATTCGAAAAGTATGTTTCTGATTATCTGATCTTTATTATTTCAAGAAGAAAACTAGATTATTTTTATGATTTTTTAATGAAATTTTATGATTTTTTTTATGTCTTGTAGGTGTGCCTATGTTGTCGGACAAGATGACGATGCTATTTTATGGGAAAAAGGGCATGGCGGAGAAATAGAAGCAAAGGAAGGAATGTGAAGTTTTCGAGGCAAATAGGAAGGAGAAAGTGGCTTCGGAACACAAGGAAACTCTTAATCAACCAGAAATGGGTACGATTTGAATTTTATACTAGTTTAGCTTTAGTTTTTCATTTTTTTTTTGGTTTGATTTGAAAATTTCTATCTATTTTGTGTAATTTGTAGGAATTGAAACTCTGTCCAAATGTTTGTTGATTCAGGCGCCCTAGACTCGCTTCTGAAAGGTGGGGGAATATGTATTTGGTTCGTGATAAACACGTGCCTATGGCTATCACCGAACTTTAAAAGGGTATGACTGGACTGGATACGACGAAGCAAGCTGTCGAAGTGACAGACATCTTGGAAGTGGTGAAGGGTTAGTCTTCGAAGACAGGGAACCATTTGCCCATTTAAGAATAGCCTGATGAGTGACTCTCTCTCTGAAATTCTATCGCTCGAAGAGACATTTGTTCTGTGACTGTGACAAAATCTCAGTTTATTCTTAGAGTCAGTTTCGATTCAAAATTAGACAAAAAAAAAAAAAATCATAATAACTGTCACGTAATATAAAAATATATTATTATATTAGGGTTTAAGTTTATATTAGAGATGTGAGTTATATATACTAAAATATTTTTATATCACGTGATTATCATTGTCAATGTGTTATTTTCTATTTAAATTTTAACAAAAATTATGAGTAAATTGTGAAAAATTTGAAACATGAAAGGCCAAAGTATGAAAGTGGCCAAACATAAAAGGGCCAAAGTATAATTACTTATTCAAAATTTTAATAATAAGTAACAGAGTGATTATTTAAAATTATTCACACTAAAATTATAAAAAATAAAATGAAATTTTTCTCAAATTAAATAAATCAAAAATAATTTACCTAACAAATTTGTAATTATTTGGATTGAATAATCAAATTAAAATTGGATTTAAAATGTGAAATACAAAACAATAAAAATTGAGTATAGTAAAAACGTTGTGTAAAACATCTCCAAAGTTATATAAGATGTAAAGAAAAAATGTCAGTTTAGACGTTATCATCAAACTGATACAAGATGAAGAGAGAATTAAATATTTTATTAAATGAAAAGAATATTTATTATTTATCAAATTTGTAGGTAATTGTTGGGCTAAATGACTTAATAACCAGACTTTCTTTATCAAATTTGAAGAAAATTTTGAATTTAATGTTAAAGTGTACTTCATCAAATAAATAATTACAGAAGCACAAACTGCAGGTGCTGAATCTCCATTGCAATTTGTCCTCCATGATCGAGCCATGGGTTGATATTCGATCATCGATTCTGGGGTTTCTACTTTGATATTCAGCACTGATACTGATCACTACTAGTATGAAATCCTTGACGATTTTTCTCCCCAGGGTTTAGGTCGAATCACAGAATCAACGTCATCATGGAAGGAGAGTCTCCGTGATCTCATATGAAGTGGAGAGTTCTAGGGCTTCTTAGTGCTTCACCATTCGTAAACAACATGGCTCCTCAATTTTCGGGGTAAATCTCTTTCTAAATATATATGTATGTTTATTTATTGCCTGATTCAGTTGATTATTTAGGGAAAATCCATGTTTTTCACTCTGTTGTTGATAATTGAAGTGTTAATAAGTCTGCGAAATTTGTCTTTTCTTTTACTTGTAAATCGAAAATTGGAATTGGAAATTCTTTCACATCCACTGATTTTCAGCACTTCTTTTTCATCGAATTGAAACAAAAGAGCACCCCCCCCCCCCCCCCCCCACACCCCCCCTTCTCCAAAAAAAAGAAAAAAAGAAATTAACATGAGACAGCCAACCGATGACACACAGGTAGAAGCAATGTAACCCAATGTTTCTAATATGGATCAGTCACCTGCAACAAAATCACTCACTTAAATTCGCTTCAAGAAACCAATAGCTACTAGAAATCACATCAAAATGCATATAAGAAATTGGAAGCAATTGTAATGAAGAATAATTGCATCAAAAGAAACTGTAACATGAAAAATCGCATCAAAATACATATGAGAAATAGGAAAATCAATAGCTATGAATTAAGAAGAATTAAACATAACTATTATGGTCAATTGAATTATATCATTCAATGGTGAAGTAAATAAATCATACAAACCTCCAAATAGAATTAAACTCAAATTTTTTAAGGGAACGAATAATTTTCTTTATTAAGACTAAGAGAGTCTTGTTATAAGGAAAAAGAATTTTTGAAGGCTGCAAAATCAAACAAAATTAAATTTTAAAACAATTAAAGGTTACCTTGTGTGAAGTATCCATTTTTGGCTGATCATGCTCCTTTGAGTTTCCATCCTTGTGATAATGCATAACTCATTTTCTAGTTGAAGCATTATGTATAACAATTAGTAGGCAACAAAAAAAGAATCAAACTGAAAATTAAACCCAAGGTTCATTAAATAAAATTAATTGTACTATTTTTTTAAACAAAGATTACAACCAAATACATATAAAAGATACTTACCACAACTAAAAAACGAAAGAGAGAATGAAACTAAATTAAACATAATTAAGTAGAGAAACAGAATAGTTAAAAAGAGAAACAAAACAGTTAAAAAGAGAAACAAAACAGTTAAAAAGAGAATGAGAAAAACATAATTAATACTCCAAATGATATAAACAAAATAGTTACATAGGGGAACCAAATTAAACAAAATAAAGATAAGTTTCCGAAAATCAATACATGAAAATTGATTTTAGAAACCCATTCAAAAACCCATTTTAATAATTGTGCTGGTTCATTTATCATTTTAATATTTTTGGAATCAAAACCATTCAGAAACACATTTAAATCTAACCCATTTTAAAAAAAGAAAAAAGAAAAAGGAAAAGAAAAATATGATTCATAATTTGAATACAACGAAACATTAATCAAGAATACATGAAAATAAAAATAAATGGATACATAAACACTCTAATTGTGGTAATGATCGCTCTGCCTCTCCCTCTCTTAGAATAGATAATGTCCTCTCCAAAAGCCATGTGTTGATTCCCCAATCCAGACATTCGGGATGTGTGCAATTTTCCAATAATCCTCCTCAACTTGTAAGTCCCTATATAGATTTGAAATCAATCCATCAGACATATCTACCAAGTTAAGGTATTGAAGGCTGGTTAGATGTTCAATGCCAAAGGGTAACTCGTCCACCAATTTGCAGTTTCCAATATATAGTTCTTCAAGATGAGGCATCGACCCTGCCTCTACACTCACCCATCTCAATCCTTTTAATCTATAAATTGATAATCTCTTAAGCCTTTGAAACCCACCAGATTGGAAACACAATCCCTCCCCTTCATATGCCTGATCAAGTTCAAGCTCAACTAGATTAGGCAAACCTTGAAAGGATTGTGGTGGATCAATATCCCTTAACTTACTCCACCTTAAACATACTCTCACCAGGTTGTGAAGAGAAGGTATCCAATGTGGTAGCCTCTGTAAACATCCTTCAAGGTAGAGCGTTCGAAGAAGTCGAGGCGGCAAAGACAGAGAATCTAGATCAATGATCTCATCTTCTTCTGTTGCTTTAACGCCTAGCGAACGAAGGTTGTTCAACTTCTCAAGGGAGGAGCATAGTGCCCTCCCATCTTCACTTCTCAACTTTAGAATGTGTAATCTTCGTAGTTGAGTTAGCTTCCCAACCTCTTCCAGTATAGTACCACCACTATTGCCATGGTTTACTTCAATAGAACTGAGTTTCTGCAAGGATAACAAACTTCCTATTTTTACTGGGCCTTTGAATCCGAAACTATAATGAAAAGAAAAATAGGTATCTTCTTTTTCGATGCGATACAACAAGAGATGGCGAAGTCGTTGAAGGTTCAGGATCTCATCAGGCAACTCAGTGACATATGTGTCATTGAGGTCCAATGTTTCCAGGTTTTGAAGCTTTCCAATTGACTTCGGAATGATTTTCACATTGGTTTTCCTCAAACTTAGATACCTGAGATGAAGGAGTTTCACAACTTCATTCGGGAATGTCTCCAATGGGGTACCTTTCAAGTCTAACACTGTTAAGAGCCTTAGACCACCATTTGACGATGCAAGCATAGACAACTTGGATAATGAATATGTTGCGTCAAATATGAGCAAAGAACGAAGTTGAGTGAAACACTTGCTTTGTTGTATATCTTGCAAATGTTTATGGATTGATAAACGTCGCACCTTTTCAGGCCACGTTCTACCTCGTTCACTGGCTATGGTTACCATGTTCTGCTCTTTTGACTTTGAAACAATAATTTCACGCCAAAGGTCATGGATGCGATATGATTTGACCCTTCCATTTGTCCTTATCTCTGCCACTTGAATTAAACTTCTACTGATCAGCTCATTGAGGTAGCATTCAGCAATTTCTTCTGCTGTCATTTCTTCTTTCATTTCTATAAATCCTTCTGCCGCCCATAACCGAATCAATCTCCCACGGTCAATAAAACAATCCTCTGGGAAAATGCTCAAGTACAAAAAACATAACTTCAGATAGTATGGCAAATCAACATAACTGAGTAACAATACTTTATTCATGCTTTGGAGTTTACCATTTCCTCCTAGTTCCACACCAAGGCTGCGGTAGATCCTCTCCCATTCATCAACACTGGTCTTGTCCTTTATTGATAAAAGACCACTGATTGCCACAATTGCAAGAGGCAATCCCTCACATCTTTTCAAGATGCCTCTAGAAAGTCCTTCCAAATGTGAAGGGCAAGGATTCCCTTGAAATGTCTTCCTGCAAAACAAGATCCAGGACTCTTCAGGAAGCAAGGGGCGGAGATTATAGACATTGCCATGATATCCGTTGGCAGCAAAATAGGCTAAATCTTCATTTCTTGTTGTCATCATTACCCGACTACCACAATTGCCATTGGGGAATGCATATCTGAAAGATTGCCATGCATGAATATCCCAGACATCATCGAAAACAAGGACATACCTATTTTGTTGTAGGAAAGCATTAATTATTCCTTTCAAGCTGTTTGTATCCATGTTTTCCACACCTTGTGGGACTGGTTGCTTGACCTCTTCAAAGAGTTGTTGGATCATGCCTTTTAGGAGGTCCTCGATCTTGAACGATTCAGAAACAGTGATCCAAGCGTGGTTCTGGAAATTATGCTTCACTATTGCGTCATCAAAGACCTTTTTGATGAGTGTGGTTTTTCCCAATCCGCCCGTTCCTACTACAGAAAGCATCTTGAGTCTAGGATCTCCTTGCATCAACCACTGAATCAGTAGTGATTTGGGCTTGTCGATGCCCACAAGCTCGGCTTCTTCGAGTAGAAGGGCATCACCACGACAATCATACCATGTGGACCTTGAGCTTTGCTCCAGTATACCATATTTATCCTTGTATCTTTGATGTCCATTCGAAATATTGATGACTTTGGACTTGATTCTTTGTACTTGAAAAGCAATTCGACGACGAGCTTTTAATGTCATGATAAAACAAGAAAACTTACGAAGAAACCTGCCAAATCCATTGCCATGATGTCTGAAGCAAAGCATGAAAATGTCTAGAACATCTCTAGTGTCATATGCAGCTTCTCTCACTTGCTTGACCCATACTTTGAGTTCCGCGTCATTCTCTTCCATAGAATCAGCAACTCTGAGGAAAGCTGTCATACGAGCGAATTCATCTCTGATGTATTCGATCTCTTCCCGAACTCCTCCTGTCAACAAATTCACCTCTTCCTGGAGGAAGGGTGCGAAGGTGGCTAGTAGATGCAAGACCGCACTCTCTGCCATTTTTTCTGTTCTGTGTTTCTTGCACTTGCAGAAGCCTGGGGGTTTGTAATACAAACTTTATAGGGATGATGAGGAAATGATGGTCTGAATGGTTTTGCAGGATAAGTTGTGAGTTAGGAAAATGGGACTTTATAATGCTCAGATTAAATTTGATTAATCTGCCTGGTAAGACCTGGATCAATGCATGACACTTTCTAAGAAATAACCCTTCTTCTGCAGCATCAGCATCATCTGTCGTAGTCATCATCTTCTTCTTCTTCACCTAATGGGACAGCTCCTATTTTTCAAAAAAAATAAAAAAATGATGTATCCTAAGCTTCGTTTCAACTTCTACAAGCTTTCGTGAAAAACATATTAAGCGTAATAGGGACATTATTTTGTGTGGTGTCCACCATCTAATGAAAATCACAAATAGGTTGTGTGGACGACTTTTGTCTCTCACTAACCCAATCTTATTATGGTCCGTATACCAAAATGAGGTTACTCATGATGGTGATAAAGTTATGTGATATTACTGTTATAATCAATATATAATCGCCTTCGTGGGTTGAGAAGTCACTGCTGTCTTATAGGTCGTTTGCAGTTTGTTTATTTAGTGACTTTTTATTTTTTATTTTTTTACGAAAAGATATGTAGAAAAATATAGAGATGATGTGACAATTTGTAGCAAATAAGCAAATAAATTGCTTATTTAGCAACTTCCTTAACTCAAGTAGTTTGAAGTATGAATGCTAATAACCCTTATCCTTCTTGTAGTGGGACCTATGCTCTAGAAGATTTAAGAACATTAATAAATAAATAAAAAATACAATGGTGCAGGTGATATCGTTTTCCTTTTTGATTTCATGATTAAAAAATAGAGAGAACTTATTAATCAAATTGTTTTACAGAAATTTATTTGATATCAATGCACTTTAAGAAAGATCAAAAGGTTATTTTCAATTTTCAATTTTTTTTGTTTTGTTTTGTTTTGTAACTTTTTATTATTGAATTCATATATAGAAATTTACCTAAAAAAAATAATGTAATCCAGATTTAACTTTGATATGATGTAGAAATGTGGTGAATGAATATAATGTCGGTGAGATGTTAAAGCCTCTTCCACCAAAAAAGAAAACGAAATGTTAAAGCCTCTTAAAAGTCAGACTCTCTGGAGAAATTATGGGGAAATATTGCCAAAATGGGTTGTTAAAGGTCACCCTCTTAAAAGTGATCCACCGTTATAATTTGGCTCATAAGGAAGAAAGGGGGGAGGGGGAGGGGGAATTAAAATGGAAGTTAAAGAACTTGAGATATTGCACTTTTTAAAAATACTTTTCATTTCTTCTAAAATAAAATAAAAAAACTCTTCATGGATTCAAATAAAAAATTCCTCTTTTTTTTTTTATTAATCTAATCTTGATTTTAAATAATGTTCGAGCGGTATTTATAAGCATTTTTCTTTTAACTTTTTTATAATTTTATTGGTTGAGCACGCATGGACTTTAATAAGTATCCCTTTGTGCAGTTGCATGTTGTATTTCTTTATATTTTTAATTCTAAACCACTAATATTGTATTTGGATCTTAAATTTATTCTCAATTTTTTTGAGCTTTTCTTTTCATTATTTTTTCTCCCTTCATAAAACTCATTCATAAATCAAGATCCAAATACAACGTAAATAAAATAAAATAAAATAAAAAACAACGAAGCAATATGGTCTTGCAAAGTTCTTAATGATAATTGTAGTTGAAATAAAAGTAGTAAATAACAATGACAATGATAGATTGGATGTATATTGCTTGGATTTTTCTATTTTATCATCATTAAATTTTGGGTATTATATATATATATATATATATATTACAATCAGTAAGACGGAAATAAGAGAAAGGAAGTTGCATTTGCAATGGTGAGATTTAAACTCAGCCATTAAAAGAACGCTTCATTCACTAGATCAACTTTATATTTTATATTTTTGTTTTTATTTATTTATTTTTGATCCATCCAAAAAAAAAAAAAACTTTATATTTTTTTCTTAAGCGACAAAAAAAATTAAAAATTAAAACACCGTAGAAGGGGGCGAAAACAGAAAAAAGCAAAACGGTACAAAACACATCTATGCATAGGTGGCTATTTCTTGCTTCCCCACATAGAAAATGAATGGAAAAGAAATATTGGAAAAGAAAGAGAAAATGGAACAAGAGTTTCAAATTTAAAATAATAATAATAAAAATGAATTGGAAACCAACTGAGCGTGATCGGATTGGATGGATAACAAGGAAGTGGGAAACCAAACGAGTTTTTGTGGAAGAAAAAAAACACAAAGTTGTCATCTTCATTGCTTGCAAGTTCTTTGCAGCATCTGGCTTAGAATTTTATTAATATAGCGGGGAAGAACATATATACTAATAAATTTTTTAAAGAAATTATAATATCGATTTCTATTAATATAATCTATTACTATTATAAAAGTGTGAAGATTTTGTCATGTTTTTTACTTTTTTTAAAATTTTAATTTTACCCCTTTAAATCTATTATATTTTTAAAAAAATTATGAAGAGTATTATATAAACTAACTATCTCTTTATGTTTGGATCATTGTGTTTTTTACTCTTTTTTTTTTTTTTTTTTTTTAAAAAAAATTCCAAGTTTATCCAGTCAAATATATTATATTTTCTAAAAGTCATGAATAGTCTTATATAAACTAACAATTTCTCTATATAAATATAAAGTTAGGGCTTTTTGACACTTTTTTTTCAAAAAAAAAAAATCAAAAAAAGTCAAAAAATTTGACCTTTAACATACTTCTTAAAATAGGCCAAACAAACCGTGTCCCTTTTGTAAAAATAGAAAATAAATAAAAAACTTGTCTCTCTATTTTTTACATTGATGATGATTGAAGAACATAAAATAATTATTCTCTCTTATTTTTTATGTCTGTTTCTATACTGATATACATAATATTTACGATTGTCTATCATGGATCAAATCACTATAAATAATTTTGGTTGAATCTTGAAATTGTATACATTTCGTTTGAATCTAAATAGAGGAAAGCACTTGCATTTTTAAAATAAAAATTTGTGTTGCATTTCAAAATTTCGCAAGTTATCTTTATATTCTTTCTTTTTGTTTAAATTATATTTTATAAACTGTAATATTTTACATAGTACTTTAATAACCAAGTTATGATATCAAAATTTTACACAAGAATCACTTTCGTTGGTTTTATTTTTTAAAGTTTAAAGTTGTATGTGTTCGTTTGAATTTAAACAGAAAAAAGTACATACGTTTTTAAAATAGAGATTTGTGTTGCATTTCAAAATTTTGCAAGTTATCTTCATGCATTCTCTTTTTGTTTAAATTATATTTTATGAATTGTAATATTTTATATGATACTTTAATAACCAAGGTATGATAATAAAATTCTAAACAAGAACTATTTTTGTTGGTTTTATATTTTAAATCTGTTTTGCAATTTTTGACTTTTCATATTTTTTCAATTTTGGTAATTAAAGATATTGAAATCTAATATCTAATAATCTAATAGAATTAAAAAGTAAAATATTGGTAAAAAAATTTATAAATTCAAACATGTACTAATTTATTATTATTATATATTTTTTGTTATTATTATTATTAATTAATATTAATAATTTTTTTTTTCTAAAAAGAATATATAACAAATTATTTTACAAAGATATTTAGATTTAGTGAATCTAAATCTAAAAATAAAATTAAAAAATAAAAAATATTAAATTAAGTGAATCTAAAAGTAAAATAAAATGATTATTAAAAAAACAGTATCAAAGACAAAAAAAAATTAAAAAATTAAAAAACAAAAATAAAAAATTTGAAATAAAAAATTGAAAAAACAAACCATTCAAAACTAAAGTATGAAAAAACAAATCAAACAAAACACTATAAACTTCTTTTTTTTAAAAATCTTTCTTCACTAATCACTAATTTTATACAAATCATTCGCAAGTTCCTTTTAATTTTTATGTGAATTTAATAATCTAATTAAAAAATGGTGCATATACACAAAAATGTAATACTAAACATCTGTATTATGAACAATTATTTAATTATGAACAATTAACTTTTCATTATTATCCGTATTATATTGTTATAAAAAATTTCACATATAATTTTATAATATCTTATGTATGTCAATTTCTACATATGGAACAAGAGTTTCAAATTTAAAATAATAATAATAAAAATGAATTGGAAACCAACTGAGCGTGATCGGATTGGATGGATAACAAGGAAGTGGGAAACCAAACGAGTTTTTGTGGAAGAAAAAAAACACAAAGTTGTCATCTTCATTGCTTGCAAGTTCTTTGCAGCATCTGGCTTAGAATTTTATTAATATAGCATATATATATATATATATATATACATACATACATGTCAAACAAACAAGTGTTCATAACATAAACTTTCAATAACAAGTTAAGACTTTGTAAAACACTTCCATCACGACAATAATTGTATTTTTTTCCTTACAAAAAAAATCACATTATTAAGAGAAAATAGATTTTGAAATTCATATCAATGTGATATTGCCACAAACTTTTATTCATCAAAATATTTTTATTACAATGAATTATAATAGTCAGTAAGAAGATGGTGAAACAAAAATTACAAAAGATTTATTGCAACATGCTCTCCAAGTAAAGTTAGACGAGCTGAAGTAAGAATTATATAATTTGTTGTGAAATTCAAGAAAAATAATGTACCTTATGCACACATTTTAGTCAAATTATAAGGAAAAAAATTAAATGATGCTCAAACATTATCACAGTAACTCAATGATACAGAAAGTAAGTATATTAAATAAAAAGTTTCGATCAATTTTTGTTATATATTGATTACTAATAGATGCCATAATAAATTATGTAACTTGACAGTTTCATAAAAGTGACCTTGTAACACTTATAAGTATGGATCTATAAATATCATGAAAATAATTATAAAATTTATATATCGATCGAAATATTAAGTTATAATATTATTTCATTTTCTTAAAAAAATTATTTCATATTTTCTACATAAATGAAAATATACTAATGACTAATGTTATAAAAATATATTACATATTAATATTAATACATTCTTACACCAATTGTATGCAAATAATATGTAATATTCAATAAATTTGTATTATGAGATTAAACTATTAAACAAAATTATGTAATTGTGCAATTAATTTCATATCTTCAATTGTATTATAGGTACGGATTACGAAAAATTGTAGTGAAAAGTTGACAAAAAAATATTTGTGTAATACTATATATTTAAAGGACCTACTTATTGTTTATTATTTAAGATAAAATTGTGATTTTAACAATTTAACTATAAATTAATGTTTATGTTTATAAATTTTTTTATTTATCATTTAAAATTTTTTTAGCCGAGTATGTAATAATTTCTTTCTTAGTTGTATTTTGGATACAAATCGATTTATTGATACAAGTATCCATACATTGTGTATATATATATATATATATATCACATATCAATTTAAGAGGCTTGCATAATTACAGTATTAATAGTTGATGAAAAATCACATGTCCCGTGCAATGCACATGCCCAACTATTAGTGTTAAAAAAATCATGAATATATATATATATATGTGTATATAATTTTTTTTTTTATATTCATGTTGAGTTATAAAAAATAAGAATTATAAGATAATTTATGAATCCTAGTTATGAGAAATTAAATTTTCTTTTATCCAAATTATTAAATTTTATAGTTGAAACTCTGTATTTTTTTATAGATATAGATGTGTGGGTTATGTAACTACTCATCATTTTTACAATCTAAAGGGGTGAATCTATATAACTTGCTAATAATCAATAGTTAAAATTAGTATATAAAAGAAGTTTATGAAATTGTAAGGGGCGATCACCTTCTTTGGCCCCTCCTGGGTTCATCATTGATCTTAAAGCTATATTTAGTGCATAAATTTTAGTAAGAATTTAAAGAAAAAAAATTAATAAAATATGAATAAAATATAATTATATATATTTTTTCTTTTATTTTTTAAAAAATAATAAAATATAATTATATTTTATATAATTTTTTATTTTATTTTTAAATTTTTACTTAAAATGAATCAAGCCTATGTTAAAGGTGAAGAGAGACATTTAAAAAGAAATTGAGAAGGAAGTGCGAATGCCACCCCAAAATGTGAGGAACCCGCGTGACCAGCTAGCCCCTTATCGACGGCGGCTCCACCTTCCATACGCAACATCTAATCAAAACTTAGGGCATATTTTAGAAAAATAGTTAAAAGTTATTTTTTAGTTTTAATTTATTTTGAATTATATTATCTTTTATATTTTTTGTATGTTTTTTTTTAAAAAAAGATTAAAAAAAATTAAAAAGTTAATTTTTAACTATCTTCTTAAAACAAATCTAAAAACCATGCATCTAGATATTAAGGCACTATTTGGCATTCTCTATAAAAGTCTATTTTTTAATTTTTTAATATTTTTTGAGTCACATTATTTTTTTACACATTTTTTCGTAAAAATTCAAAAAATATACTTATTTAAATTATCATAAACAACCTCTATGGCCAAGGGAAACAGAAAAAAAAAAAAATTTTATTGATTTATTAATTTATTTGAATCACATTACTTCTCTATTTTTTTTTCACGTTTTTTCAAAACAGCCAATAAACTAAAAAAAAAGGCACTTCCCAACATAAGCTTAATATAAGCCATGTTTGTTTGGCTTTAAGTGAGAGAATTGGATTAATAATCCTGTGGATCCTATGTAACCCGTATTTGGTTGGTAAAAATACAATGAGATTAGTAGTGTTATGGGAGTATGAATCCCTTCACATAGGGATGATAAACAAACTGAATTATTTAAATTTGATTTGATAATTTTAACGAGTTTTAAAATTTATTTAAACTTAATTCGTTAAACTTTTGAGTTGATCTCAAATTAACTTTTGTCGAGTCGAGCTCGACTAATTTAGTATTTTTATATAATTTTAGGTTTATTGAATTGAGCCGAAGGAGCAATTGATTATTCAAACTTGGTTTGAAAACTTTAATGAGTTTCAAAATATGTTCAAGCTTAATTTGTTTACTTAACAAACTGAGCTCGAACAAGTTATTATCGAGCTGAACACGAATTAAGCTCGAATTGTTTGATTCGTTTATCACTCATATCCTCACATGATAAGATTAACTTTTCCATGAGAGGGATGAGATTAGGTGTGAAAAGACAATTTTGCCATCACATAACAAAACAACAAAGTTAATTTTTATATAGTCAAGGCTTTTACGTAACTTTATAAATTTTTTCCTAACCAAATCAACCAACACCACCTAACTAGTAGACAAACAAATACATTTTATCTTACATATCTAATTTAATATTATCACATTAATAATTTTTTTCCTTAATTCTATCATATTCATAATTTCATTCAACCTAATCCACTAAGCCTCCGTTTGGGAAGTGGGAAGTGGGTTGACTTTTTGCAATCACCGTAACTGTCACCCTACCACCATAC